AGAAGAGAAGATATAAAAGTATAGAGAGAGACAGACGAGAAGAAATAATAGTTAAAGGATGTATAAGAGGACAATAGGTTCTCCTGTGTGGAGAGTGTAGTAATAAGTCTACACCCCAAACGATCAGGTAATGGTCAGTGGAGGTCTTATGAAGGAGAGAGAGTAGATATATAGTAAAGTGGTGGTGGTATAAAGACTACAGAGACTAACAATAATAGTACCACTCCTATACTCAACAAACTAACGACGGAATAAAAGAATAACAACTAACAATCATGTTTATTAACAAACAGCATTACAAAGTCGTCTATCTCATGATACACAACCGACAGATGTTATATTATGTTATAAACAGAACGTCCTCACACTATAAAACTCAGCAACTGACAGCAGAATCCACTCAACGATAAACTAGCAAATGACGCCTAGAATATCCTTTATTGCTCTACAAATAATAAGCCAAATAACAATTACAATCTAGCCATCTACTCTAATGCCAAATACCGACTACCATCTATCCGTACTGCTGATTGCAGTCCAAAGACCAGCAAACCAATAGCCAAATACCGACTACCATCTAGCCATACTGCTGATTGCAGTCTAGATACCATCTAACTAAAGCTGATTGCAGTCCAAAGACCAGCTAGCCTACTTAGCCAACCCGGCACACCATGACAGAAACTGCCATGTCACCTGTTAAATATATTCAAACAATCTATAAGTTCACATTGCCAAGCATATAAACGTGAACGCAACAACATACATCTTATCCTACCCTGCAAACAACTGCCTTTCTTCATACGAATAGTTCTCCCTTTAAACAGACATTCTGATAGCCTTGAATAAACCTCCATCCACTAACCCACATGTACTTCTTATTCAACACATATGACTATGTATAACCATACATGCACTATTTACTTTTACCACACGAATGCCCATGCACTTCCTCCTCAAACAACAACAGTCCGGCTACAGACCTGGCCTTGCATCCCCCACTCACTTCAACATCTGATACTTCTGTCCCGCCCCTTTACAGGTAAATTCTATTATATCCGTGTGCTCCCTTCTCGGCAGCTTGCCGAGGACAGTTCAAGCTAAATGACTTTCACTTTCCCATATCTTCTTATATCATTCTCTCTTCAAATCACAACTAAATGCTTACAACATTATAACTGCATCATGTTAATACATATGGCGTTATCATTCCCTAGCAGCGCTAACTCTGATGTTCAATATGATATTTCACACGTCATGCTTATCTGTTATCATGACCATCACCATCATGTGCTGTGCCGGTCTCCCAGTAGTTATTATATCTTCTAACAGAAGCCTACATTCTTCATTACAACCATGACACCATAACTATACATTCACAATTATACATTTTATGACATCAGTGCCCGCTGCTTTCCTCCTGTATCACAATCAAAACATCGCAGACAGTCTGGCCGTTAGAAAGGGTCATTCTAGGGCCAGCCTGTTCATTCACCAAACCACTCTCTCTCTCTACCTGTGAAATACGATATTGGGCCTCTGACCTAAATAAGAGGGCAGCCCTCGTATGCTGCATGCTCAGAACGTTTCTCGTTGTTTTATAACTTTCCTTTCCTCCAATGTTCCAAGATGATGTCTGCTCCAAGAACTCATTATAATATACATATTGATACTCATACTTTGCATTAATACACTTGGATCTGTCAACATAGCATTTGCTATGTCTCAGGTGTCCAGTTAGACGACTCGCAAGATCCAGTTAACACATATCAGAGCAATCATCATCATCATGTGTCCTACCAATTACCCAAGATGCGATAACCGCTATTATCACACTGTATCTTATCTAATTAGTTAACATGAACACAGTACTACTTACATAACATGAAGCAATATTTCGTGCATTATCTGGCAATTCACACAACAGAAGTATGGACTTAGCTCCATCGTATCGACATCATCCGAATGCCCACAGCATCCTTCGTTGGCAGAGATCTCAGCGCAAGTGTCTCTATCAGGGCTTCCAGTAGTGTATTTACCCCTGACGCTACCCCTCTCCTTTGTCCCTGAGTTCATGAAACTTTGTCTTCTAAGGTTCATGAACCTTTCTCTTTCCCGCCAAAGATGGTATTCCAAGCCACTTTGCATATTTGGATGGAAAATCCCCAGGAAATCTTGTGCCGTTGCCTTTGTTCGTTGTCTTGCCTCTGTTAATTTACGAATATATTGGCCTGCAACAGTTCATGAACAAGCTTGGCATGCACCCACGTCTTTGTCCACTCTTGAGTCAATGCCCTCAGGGTTGTTAGACTGGCGACCCTCTTTATCTCAAGCGACTCTATACCTCCTTATTCCTCCGTGTGTTTCTTTCCTTCTATTTCCTTCTTGTAAAAAAACGTGACTGTAATCAGTACTGTCACACAAGTATGGTGGTCATTCTAGTCACCCCCTTGTGGGATGCAATTTTTCGTTATTTTGAAGCCCCACGCTGGCTCTTTCGAGGGGCCGCAATATAGCCCGGCCATAAATAGTTCCTACTGGCTAAACGCGGCACTTTGTGTTCGGGTGTTTATCGCTTGTGTGATGTCCTAGTGGGGTCATATGTACTACTACTGACCATAATGCCCGCCTAGTGTTAGCTGCGACAGTGAGCAACGCTAAAGACATTTAACATTTAACAAGCTTGGAGTAGTCGAAAGAACAAGCAAAAATGAAACGACGGCATCAAGTAAAACCTTAAAGAAATAAAGATCAGTTTATGCAATGCTGTGAGTAGAGCACATAAACGTTGATCAATCTTACACACTCCTTCCGTCTCCCTTACACATACACAGTTCGGTAAAATAAAAGGAGGAGGAGAAGAGGAAGAAGAAGAAGAAAGAAAGAAGAAAAAAGAAGAAGAAGAAGAAGAAGAAGAAGAAGAAGAAGAAGAAGAAGAAGAAGAAGAAGAAGAAGAAGAAGAAGAAGAAAAAGAAAAGTTCTAGGTGAAAATAAACGATAAGAAGGAGAGGAAGAAATAATAAAGACAAGTTACTTAAGAACAGGAATAGCAGTAGGGGAAAGAGAATAAGAACAAGAAGAAGAAGAAGATGACGAAGAAGAAGAAAAAGAAGACGAAGAACAAGACGGAGAAGGAGAAGAGAGAATAGGGAGTAATGCGGAGACGAAAAAGGGAAATAAGAGGACGACAAAGAGAAAGCATTTGTGGCTCATATACGTAACATAAACACTTTAATTCAGTTTGATTTCACTGACCACAGAAAAGCAGCGATCTTACAGTTAAAACTAAATATAACAAAACCAGATACATCTCTGGGAGCATGAAATAAAGAGGCCATTAGGACCATTAAGCTAACAAAGAACTCCAAGCCATGCTACTCACACATTCTCCTAACAGAAAAGTAGGCCGTATTGTAGGTAACACAGTGACCCCCGAATGTTCGCTTAGTGATAACCTTTGTGGATTCGCTATCTGTTCACTTTAGCATCAATGGCATTTCATTGTTCCTACGTCGCCATTCACCATAAAGGCAGATAAATTCAGCGTTTTACGTCCGTAATCATATTACTTTATGATAAGTTTAGCGCGCAACCTATTTTAACGCAAGTTTTACTCTGAGAAAACTGTTAAGAAATGTCACTATCCTACTTTATTATTATTACAGATATCCATTGGAGGCAGATTCCTGGGGTGTCACTCACTTTCAAGTGTGATGGTGTCAGATAACTTTCATTATTGATGTATCTCTTTCTAAGATGTATGGCAGGCTAGAATCACTTTCAAACGTAGCAACAGCTTACACTATTTCAAATTAATGACAATCTTCGCAAGATAAAAAAAAACAATTAACCCTGCTTTCTATTCAGAAGGCCCCCCCCCCCCTTTTCCCTTCCCCTTTTATATTTATTTACCTTATTAATATGTTCTTCGCCGTTTTTGTCAAACATTTTTTTTTATTTGTTTCGTTTCCTAATGTAGCCCGTTGTGTCCATATTTTCTTCATACTACGTGGGGGCTGCGGGGTTTTGAGGCATGGTGTCTGCTTCGAGTGCTAGAGGTTCCGGGTTCAATCCCAGGTAAGGGCTGGGATTTTTTCACGTGGACTTGGACTTCTAGTAATTCCCCCTGGTCTCTGGGTAGTGAGATCGGAAGCCCGTGTGTATTGTTGCGCACGTAAAAAAATCCCTTGGCAGTTGGAAATCAAAAAGAGTAGCCTAACGGAGCTGCCTGGGCAAAATGTGTAGTTGAAAATCTACATAAAGTATTTCAGGATCCTCGCCATAGCTACAGATCCTGTGCACTGTGCTGAGCTTTTTCGGACTCAGACTTGAGTTAGAAGAAGAACGGAGCACTTGTGGGTGTGCCAAGATGTTGTTCAAACCTCAAATCTCATAAGCGTTAGGGGGCAATATGTGAACAACGGAGCCCTTATGGGCTACACCCGTGTGCCATGATGTTGTTCCGTTGTTCAAAACCTCAAAAACTCATACTACGTTTTTCGAGTGGTATGTTGACCGTGGCTATGTATATGTCTTGTTGATTTATTCATGGAATTTCTAGTCACCGCTTGTTTTATATAATTACTTCGGTGATAAAGACTGATCGAAACGTTCAGCTGTAGGCTGCGTCCTCTCCATCCACTTTATGAAGATTTCTAGTAATGGGTTTTTATCGTATTTGCCACTTAACTATTTGAAATTGCTGATCTTGTTATAAGTCAGGACTATTACTTCTTCTTCGCGCTCCCCGGCTGTGCACTCCGGTTGTTCGTCCACTTCTGGACTCTAGTCCTTCAGGACTACTTATTGTTTGTTAAACATTTAGCATGGGAAAGTGATGAGCTTCTTATGGGGTTTTCGCTGGCACAGCAGTCAAGCATTTATGAGAGGAGCCCTTACTATCCAGCTGGATCTGCAACTAACATCTGCGGTAACTGACAACTTTTTGATAAAGAGTAAGTCAAATGAGCAGCTCACATTGTATTTTTTATTCCCACATCCAGGTGACAGCGCCGACGACGTGGCCTGTTCTGACCAGTGGGTGCGCATTCATCGAGGATGTTACAAGTTTGTCACCGAAGAGGAACATTGGAGCGCCGCTTTAGAACACTGCAGAACTATTGGTGGAGACTTGACCACAATTCAGAGCTGGAAGGAGAAAGTAAGTTTATGTGTCTAGTATTTGTTTAATGATCAACATAGTTTCATCAGTAGGTTGGCACCTGTACGTCTTTCCACTGCTACATTGTGCTCGTCGGAGGCGGCATGGGGATCACAACCCTTGGTAGCAGAGAGTAACTAATCAACAACATATCAAACGGGCTACCCCATAGTTGCTCAACGAAAAACACACGGAATGTCCATCACTTTCCCTTGTGGAAAAATTAGCACATACTGCAGTCTAAGCATATCCACCACCATCATCAGAATCATCATCATCATCATCATCATCAGGTGCCTTGCCGACTGGCGTGGGCGGTCATGCCTCACCACAACCCGCGATCTCTTACAGCATGCATCATCAGTTCGTGTGCTGACACACCTCCTTGCCATCCAACAAGACTGTCAAGAATCTTCTCTCGTTGTATTCCTCTATCCCTCCTTTCACAAATCTTTCTAATGGTCACAACATGGCTAAAAAATGATGACTGTCTCCTTCTAATGTCTGTGATAAGTTGTCTCCGGGCTCCCGCCTCTTTCAAAACCTCTTAGTTGCTCTTTTTGGCTGTCCAAAGTATTCTAACCATTCTTCTCTGAGGCCTCAAGAAATTGTGTGGCCTGCCTACTGATTGTCCAGGATTCACAGCCATATGTTAAAACTGTATGTATGTAGCAAGCAATAATTCTTTTTCTAACCTTCAATGACAAAGATATATTGCGTAAGATGTTCTTCATTTTATAAAATGCAGTTTTTGCCTCTCCTTTTCTGTTTCTTTTATCAGTAATGCATCTTTCATCTGATGTTATCCATGTGCCCAGATACTTAAATTTCTGTACTTGTCCCAATATAACACCATCGACTTTTATTACACCCTTAGAAATAATTCGTTTCTTTGATACCACCATTACTTCTGTCTTCCCATTATTCAAACTGAGGCTCATTCTTCAACTTTCTAACACCACAATTTCTATCATTTCCTCTGTTCTTCTGACTTGTTGCTATCAAGACTGTGTCATCAGTATAACGTAAATTGTTTATTTTATATTTATATTGCAAATCATGCCAACAGCATACACATGCATTTAAGGCATAAGGCAGCCATCAGAAGTGCTAACACAAACAGTCTGCCATTAGAAATGCAGTTCATCATCGACGGAATCAGAGAGGTCGTAGAGAGTGTTGCTAGCAAAACACGCCCGTGTTAAGAAGCTTCTTAAATATTGGGAATGAATTCCTCACTTCCATAGCACAAAACCCTGGCAGTATTACACACTATGTTAAAAAGGGTAAAATCAAAATCGGGAAATTCTACTTCATTGTTTCATTTCAAATGATGCGGTCTCTCTAAACAGAGTAGCTGGCCGCCTGCCGAGAGCGTCATGCAGAGCGTGAACTCTGTAGCTCCAGCTAGGATCGTTAAAAGCTCTGTAAAAATGCACCCTTGAACCCCAGCCACAACATTCAGGGCGCAAGGCAAACATCTTGATCACTTTGATGAGAAATAAAATGAGATTAAATGAAGTAAAGCAAATAAAAATGAGAAATGCATGGAAGAAGCTTGCATCAAAGGTTATATGACAAAGAAGAAGGCGCTATATTGGCAACATTCTGAGAAGAAGCGAGCAGGAAATCACTAATCCGAAACTGAAATGGGAAACAAATGGATCAAAGAAACGAGGACATTTCTAGAACAAACTTTAGAGAAAGAGGTCAAGGTTTGAGGTTTGAACAACGGATCAAAATTATGGCACACGGGCAGTAACCCATAAGTGCTCCGTTCTTCTTCTAACTTAAGTCTGAGTCCGAAGAAGCTCAGCACAGTGCACAGGCTCTGTAGCACTCGCGAGGATCCTAAAATACTATAGTTAGATTTTTAACTAAAAATTTTGCCTGGGCAGCGCAGTTAGGCTACTCTTTTGAATTTCCAACTACCAAGGCATTTTTTACGTGCGCAACAATGCACACAGGTGTCCGATCTCACTACCCAGAGACCAGGGGTAATTACTAGAAATCCAAGTCTTAGTGAAAGTTTCACAGACCTTACCGGGGATTGGACCCGGAACCTCTAGCACTCGGGGCAGACACCATGCCTCGAGACCACGCAGCTGCCCATAAGAGAGGCTAAATCTGCTGGACGGGTTTCCATTTATGATACAGAAAAAAGATTGTAAAGTAGAAAATGGAACCAAGAACCAGATTGAGAGCTGTGTGACGTTTAATGGCACAAGAGGTTGATGATGTTGACGCTGATAATGAAACTCAGAACTACCTACAATACAGTAGTATAACTTGCCTACAGACACATCATTTTGTGCAAATTCACACAAGTAAATAAACAAATAAAATAAATAAATAAATAAATAAATAAATAAATAAAATAAAATAAACTACATCGTCACGAAAGCCGTATACACACATCAATTCCAATGTCAACATCGCCGTGTGGGTTCTGTGGCCCATTTTGTGGCAGAGGGGAAGAATAGACCAACTGTGTCTCTCGTAAAAGTCGAATAATCAGAGGCGTTTCCTTCGAAGTCAGAGTGCATCTTTCTGAGATGAGCAAACAGTATACATACACATATGCCAGATTTGTAAAACCGATATGCATCCAAAACTCACGTTTTCTTTATAAGACTAATGTCCAGAGGTGGACGAACAACCAGAACCTTCCGCCAGAGTTCACAGTCGGTAAAGGCGAAGAAGAAAGAGAATGCCAGCATAAAAATGCCAAACATAAAGATTTCAGAACTATGTTAGTCGTCCCCATGTGGGAAGCAATTTTTTCGTTATTTGAGGCCCCACCCTGGCTCTTACCGGGGGCCCTGAATGTAGCCGTGCCATAAATATAGCCTAACAGCTGAAAAGGGTTTCTAGGACTTCTCCACGGGTTATCCTCATCCGCTTGGTGGAACTTTGTGTCACCCGGTGTTTATCGCTTATGTTATGTCCTGGTGGGGTTACAACTTACCTACCTACCTACCTACCTACCTACAGTTCCAGAACAGTAACAACACAAGCATGTGTTCTGATTTCTCTGTCTGATTCCTGTCAATAGGAGGAGATCCAGAAATATCTAGCAACTGAGATCCCCGACACCTTGAAATGGTGGGTAGGATTGCAGAGAAACAAGACCTCCGATGGTGCCTGGAAATGGATTGACAACAATGACTTGGATTCAAATGTCATGTGAGCATTATACGTTTTTTTTCCCCCCGTTTTATCATCAGTGTCTTGGAGAAGTCATAGTATTGCATGTCAGCAGTAATAGGGATTTTTTCTCCTTTGATATGTTGATTAACGATCATCATCATCATCATTATCATCATAAACCACTTCTGCCGTTAAGCGACTTGGGGAGGAATAATTTGCGATCCAGTGCACGTTGGCTGCCACAAGCTATTGTCATGCCATGAAGGCGTAGAGTGTCTTTAATGTTGTCGATCCATTTTTTCCCGGGGCCGTCCTCTTGCTCTTGTAGCTGATCTTCTGAGATGTAGTGCTTGTGATAGTGTTTGATCTTGCGGCACTCTAACAAGATGGCCAAACCACTTAATCTGCTGTTTCTCGATGAATCTAGAACAAGGTGTCGTTCCCACAATTTGCCTGATAGTTTCATTATTCACTCGATCTCGGATGGTTAGTTTGGCTGCTTTTCTCAGGCACCTCATCTCGCAGGTGGTGATTTTGCGTATATGGGCTTTAGATAGTGTCCATGTTGGCACTGGTAGCCTAATGTTGGAACGAATATGCTATTAATAATCTGTAACTTTGCACTCAAATTTGCTTGCATGTCTTAAAAATGGTGACAATTGGTATATAAGTGCACTCGCTTTCTGGCATCTGGTTTCTATTTCTCTGTCAATTTTACCATCTTCTGTGATCATACTTCCTAGATATTTAAACTCCCTAACTTGATTCAGAGCAGAACCATTCAGCTGTATGTGTAGTGGGGCAGGGGTTCTACTAACTTGAACGATGACAGGTGAAATCAATTAGGTGCTGTCTTAACAATGATTGTAGGCTGCAATAGATCTTCAACAGGTTGTCTTTCGCTTTGGTATACACTGTACTTGCCAGCTTTCCTTCAACTTGTCTCTCTAATATGGTTTACATTAAAGTGTTAATGTAGCCGAGATATTTCACCTGTCTCGTTTTTATTTCCTTCACTAACTCTTTTCTTCTCATTCTTCTTTTTGTTTGTTTGTTTATATCTGCTTATACCGCAAGGCATCACAGTTTATCAGACGATCGGCGGCCGAGGCAGGGCGCGCTCATGTGCTTGATATGCCGTGATGTTTTGCAGTCTCAAGGTGTCTTTGACTCCTTCAATCTATATTCTTCTCGGTCTTCTCCTGCCTCTTGATGTTTCGATTTGCAGGTTGTACGCTCTTGTTGCTGGTATCGTTGGTTTCATTCTTAGTAGATAGCTAAATCATTTAATTCTTTGTTTCTCAATACATTTGACGACGGGTGTTGTTTCAACAGTTTTGTGATCATGTCGTTCCTCACTCGATCTCTTCTTGTTTTATTTACAGCCATTCTAAAACATCTGATCTCACAGGTTCTTTGTTTTCTTTTGTGTTCTTTTTTTTCCATTGCTAGTCAAATATACAATCTCAGGATATCCCAACCAGGACACATCCCTAAAGACCCAGCCAGCCAACCTCCTCACGCGAAAGAAACAGAACTTTATATTTCGACTGCTTCCTGGGCAAAACAGGCTCTGCGGATATAAAAGACCTTCGAGAGTGGGGATTCATAACTTCGCCCATATGGACAGGCGCCACAGAATACTGAAGATGTGCTACAGGCATGATGCATACATGCAGTACAGACAACCAAGGTTTAGCCAGTTGGCATTCCAAAGGAAACCAAGGAGTTGAAGACATGCGGCGCACAACATACATCATAGAGGCCTGTAAATTCTTTTCTGAAAACCGCAGGAAAAAGGAAAGAAAAAAGAATTGAAAAAGTATTTGTTTTTATTTCCATGAAAAACGACCTGTTCTTCTGTATCTCCAGACACGCAACACGATTAACAAATAGCATGTGCGAACGACGCACACATAGACTTATAGCCACTCCTAGTTAGAAAGGGAGAAAAAAACTATAGAAATGAGAAGACATGCTCAATATGTCTTTGTAGAGTCCACGACGCTTGTCACTGGTCAAAAATACCCTAAAAGAAATGAAGATCCCCTCATGTAACGCATTAGAAATAACACGCAAACAATCCTTACAGCCCACAGCCGTCCTCTTCCCTCATACTTGGATAGTGTAACTGGAAAAAGAAGAAGAAAAAGAAGAAGAAGAAGAAGAAGAAGAAGAAGAAGAAGAAGAAGAAGAAGAAGAAGAAGAAGAAGAAGAAGAAGAAAAAGAAGAAAAAGAAGAAAAGAGGAAGAAGAAGAAGAAAAAGAAAAAGAAGAAGAAAAGAGGAAGAAGAAGAAGAAAAAGAAGCAGAAGAAGAAAAGAGGAAGAAGAAGAAGAAAAGAAGAAGAAGAAAAAGAAGAAGAAGAAGAAGAAGAAGAAGAAGAAGAAGAAGAAGAAGAAGAAGAAGAAGAAGAAGAAGAAAAAGAAGAAGAAGAAGAAGAAGAAGAAGAAAAAGAAGAAAAGAGGAAGAAGAAGAAGAAAAAGAAAAAGAAGAAGAAAAGAGGAAGAAGAAGAAGAAAAAGAAGCAGAAGAAGAAAAGAGGAAGAAGAAGAAGAAGAAGAAGAAGAAGAAGAAGAAGAAAAAGAAGAAGAAGAAGAAGAAGAAGAAGAAGAAGAAGAAGAAGAAGAAGAAGAAGAAGAAGAAGAAGAAGAAGAAGACGAAGAAGATGTTGTCCATACAATTAGCCCTAAAAAAAATATACCCTAGAATCTATGGAGATTGGTGATTTTTACATTTACAACATAAATTGCATTAGGTAAAGTTAGTTTCCAGCTCAAAAGTGTTGGGGCTTTAAAAAGCATTGCGTTAGTGTGTGTTTTTTTAAGCCCCACCCATGCTGTTGTTGGGGGTCCTCATACAACCTAATTGTTGAACCGGATTTCTGGGACTTGCCCCCCGGACATTTCTCATCTAAATGTTGAATTTAAATGTTGGCACTTTGTCACCGAGTGCTTGTCGCTCATCGCGCGGTCTTGGTGGGGGTTGAACGTCTCTCGCTCTCTCGATTTCTTCGGTGAGTCCAGTACTAGAGCGCCATGTAGCAGCTCTGTACTTGTGGAAGCTCCTTTGGATAATTGACTTGGATGGGTCCACTGGGTAGGACTACCTGTGGGCTAGATGGCGACAATTGCCAATTACTGACTGTGTGTACCACATTTTCGGTGTAGGCGAATACCCCAACCTTACCAAGGTTTTGAACCCGGATTCCGAACTAATTAAACTTCGGAAAGACTGAGTTCTATCCGCTAAGTCCGGTGTACTCCCATTCTAGTCTTTTGAGACTTGAAGCTGACTTGCATTTATAGGCGGGGGATTAGAGCAGATATTGTCTTTGCGACCAGGGATCGAAAACAATCTCCACAGGGATTATACTGCAGAATATTTCTTCTCTACCCCAATGAACCTAAATAAGCAGAGGAGGAATCCCTGAGGACTTAGTAACATTATATATAATTTACAAACAATGGCTGTCCTTCACCGGCTTTAAAAGAGTCCCTTAATTACTTTTAGTAACTAGCCTAGTTGTGTCGCATTGCTTTTACAAATTCTGGACTGTTCTAAGACTCCAGCTCGACGATGCCCTGAGATTGAAATATATATATATATATATATATATATATATATATATATATATATATATATATATATATATATATATATATATATATATATATATATATATATTTCCCGTGTGGGTTCCGGGGCCCAGTTATGGGAAAAAAACATAAATAGACCCACTGCCTACCCAAAAACATTGTCGTGAGAGTCGTCTACTTGGAAGCTTACTTTAAAGTCGGAGTGCATCTGCCTGCGAGGCAAGGAACCAACAGTATGCAAACAAATTAGTCAGATCTGTTAAACAGATGCACATGCAACACTCAAATTCAGGAACAGAACTGCAGTCAAGAAGTGGAAAAACAACCAAAGCTTTCCGCCAGAGTTTACAGCTGGTGTACGCGAAGAAGAATATATATATATATATATATATATATATATATATATATATATATATATATATATATAGAATATATATATATATATATATATATATATATATATATATATATATATATATATATATATATACATATATATACACACATATATATATATGACTAGAGATATGGAACGAAAGTTAAATGCATTTGAAAACAAAAGTCTGTAAAAAGTGATGAAAATAAAGTGAAATGAATTCAAAAGGAGGCAAGCAATAAGAGACATATCTGGGCAACCACTTGTGTCAGGCAGTTACCAGACAGAAAAGATGGCGCTACATTGGACACATCCAGAGAACAACCAGCAGAGAATAACCAGAATGGCACTACAATATGAAATAAAGGGGTTAGAGAGGCGAGGAAACCCACGAGAAACTCTTGGATGAACTTTGATGAGAGGCCAAATCTGCTGGACTGGATTTCATCCATGATATTGAACAGATTGCACATGATACAACGAAATGGAGGGATAGACAGTGTAGTAGGGGATGACAACGAGTTATTATGTTTAATACGATGACGCGACCACTTGGTCGCCACGTGGAAATAAAGGACCACCACGTGTTGCCACGTGAAACTAACCCGTGGTATATGTTCAAACTCCATTCTGATCAAGTTAGTATGTGTTGAACCGTCGGATTGAAAGGACGGGAGATTGATGGTAAGAATGTCAACGTGAGATTGCTTGTTGTGAAAGGAGAACCCGACGACGACGTTTGAAGCCAAGACCAGCCAAGCCAGTCTGTGCATTGTCCAGAAGATGAACGAGATACATCGGTGCAGACTCTGGTCAGTGACTGCGCGAGGAACCTGCATGTTGAAGTCTGCGTGATGTGGTGTGCGAAAGCTGTTCCTTACGACAACGACTGGACGCTGATGTAAGTTGTAATATATCAATAAACTCATGTTTCGTACGGCTAAGTCGGTGTCGGCCTGTACCAGTTATGTCAACGTAGAATGTGTGATAAGAACATTCACGACACACATATAACATCCTCTAGACAACGAGATTACAATCCGCTTATTGCAAGCAGAGTTAGTACAAACACACTTATTGCAGACAGCGAACCCAATGCAGTAGGTTGTCGAACCCATGACCTTCCACATTTCACTATGGACACCCTCAGACACGGTAAACAAAATAACATTATGGTACTTAATTGCTGTCAGTTCATTATCTTATAACCTTGTTATTTAGAAGTAATTGATACAGTCGTGTCAACCATGTTCTCTTTTATGAAGACCCTGGAGCAATTCAGACCTGAAGACACGCCCTGGGGAGTTATGTGGCTACGTTGATATGGCAACAACAAAGCTTCAGTTCACAGTCACAAGATGTTCTGCGAACTACCCTTTTATCTGTGAATACCACAGCAGTAAGTAAATGACCGTTTTTCTTATTCTTCATTATAGTACTATGTTCCTCAGTAACTGCATGATAGCTTAGTCATCATCATTAGTGCGAATCAGCCGTTTGCACGTGTGGATTGGCACCTGAGACAACAGATCCTGTCCTCCAAGACTATCCCAAATACAACAGATCAAGGCAAAACTTTTGGCCAAGAGAAACATCGGTGCAAGTCAAACTTGACGGGTCGCTGAGTGAATTACAAAAGACAGTGAAGTTCATACTAGAGACAGCATTGCAGATATAGATAATTTATTTTAAGCGAACGAAATAAGAAGAAGAAGATTATCATTAGTGATATACTAACGACTGTCACAGATTCTTTGTTCACATCGCGAAAAGACGAAGCTCTCGTTATGTCGCGACAACGGAAACAACGGAGCGGGAGAGAGGCAGAGGGAGACCAAGAGAGTAGATTCTAGCCATTTAGCAACATGACATCGAGAATCATTTGTGGCAGAAATGAAAAGGGAGAAAATGAGACAGAATGCAAAGCGTCATGGATGGCATGACTATCAACGCCATATGACCTGGAGGAATATGAGAATATCATCATACGACTACATGAGATTATTAGTTGTAATGCATTTCCCAATAGTTCACAGTCTTAAAACAATGGATCTCGTCCGTTTTGCTTTGATTAATCAAAATTCTTGTGTCCTAAGTGAACACCCCCCTGTCCAGCAGCCTGGACAGTGAAATGAATGTATGCTTGTCGCTGTAATCATCTTTGCGATATACTACTCGCATGTCATGGATGCGATCGCTTGTGTCCATTGCCAAACCAGCTATAATACCTACAGTGTCCGCCAGATATCCCGCACGCTTGTTATAATCATGTACATATGTATGGTCTACGAATTGACTGCCTGCGCCCACTAATTCAAGTACTTCATGTGTACAACACTTGTATAAAACTGGAGGAAGTATTTTACTCACAACATACTAACTTTGCGGTTACTCTGCGAGTCCGGTGGTTGTGAAGTCAAATTCCAATTGAAGCAGTTAAAAGAAGTGTATGGGTTACTAGATCGACCCAGCCTATGAAAAGTAAAGGCGACCATGTTGCATTTATTACTCCTGGAAAGCGAATTCTCCTATAAATACTTGGGTCTGCACCACAATACTATTTGCTCGTAGCCGGGGAAAGAGGAATCTAATTTAGATTTTACCGTACCGGTTTTATTTAGAGACAAAAATCGGAGGTTTTAGTCTGAAATGTTTCCGGAAACATTCTTGGAATACAGTTGACCAAAAAGAAGAAAAATCACCGACATCCTACCTGAACTGAGTGAGCATCAAGGAGAATTGGCTCGTAAACAGCATTCTGTCCCGAAAGCTGGAGTCTTCATCTTCTGCCTTTCTATTCCCCCAATGGAGCATAGGCCCTCAACCAACTCACGCCAAGTCGTTCTATCCTTCGCCATTGCATGGAGCTCTCCCCATGTCCTCCCCATCATTCTAACTTCATTCTCCAGCTCTCTTCTCCATGTGCATTTTGGCCTTCTTTTATTCCTGTGTTCCAATGCAAAGACATTCTAGTTACGCTGTTCTCCTGTTTTCTCAGTGTGTCCTATCCAACGCCAGCGTCTTTTCCTCACCTCTTGGTCCATTTGAGCCTCATAGTTCTCTCTCAAAGTTCTACATTAGTTATTCTATCATACCATTTAATTCCCTCTACTCTGCGCAGGCACCAGTTAATGAATGTTTGTAATTTATTAGTAATTGCCATGGTTGTTCTCCATGTTTCCGCCCCATAGAATAGTACTGATTTGACATTAGAATTAAAAATTTCAAGTTTATTATTTCTTTTAATTTCTCTTGACGAAAGCTGGAGTCTCCTGGTCATGTTAAGCGTCACTGTAGCCAGGAGAGAACGGTAATGGAGGGAGCAGTTTCCGGACCTTCACGATACAAGACAATGCAGATGCTAAGGCTTTGAAAGCTCATAGGGCTGGAGAATTGGCCACATAAAATATAGACATTTTAGGCGTGAAAAAAAACCAGGTGTTGTAAAGGACCTGCTGACTAATTAGGATGATGATGGTTGGATGAAGATAGTGATGATGGTTGATTGCAAAGTCCAACCCAACTTATGTTCAGCTGTATGCTTTATTGCAGGGTCTCCCAAGCTTGTCTTAGTCACGGGGACATTTTTCAGTTAAATTTTGTCCACGGCGCCCTTAGTAAAAGTATGACTTTTCGTTAGTAAGAGATAAAAACAAACAAACCTCGTGCATGTTTGTTATTTTTGTTTCTTTATTAACAATAAATAAACAAATAATGTTATGGATGAGCCGTAAATCATAGCAGAATTTCTCAAATCGTGGAATCAAACTGAAAACAGCCACCCGCATGTTCAATAATTATGTTTGTTGGATGACTTTATTTAAATTGTTTTAATTATTTTTAGACAAACCACCCACACAATTCTGTAGTAAAATTGTAATAAAAATAAATAAAAAATCATGTTCTTTCTCTACAAAGGATTAGGTCTCTAATGTACCTATTGCTGATTATGAGAATATTATTTGGTTTAAAAGTTAAAGTCGAGGGAATCGCCGTCATAGCACCGGGTTTTATCTCATATGGCTCGGTCTCTCTCTCTCTCTCTCTCTCTCTCTCTCTCTCTCTCTCTCTCTCTCTCTCTCTCCCCGCACAACGGCTAGTCACCTGCCCGAAGTAACACACAGAGCACAAACTCCGTAGCGACGATGTCTTTGGATCTCCATAAATTGCACTCGTGAACAAATCGACACAGCTGTGAAACAAACCAACGACCGTCAGAGCACGTGGCAAAGGGCTTGACCACTTCGCCACAGTTTTGAGTTGGCGATGACTCTAATCTCTTCCATGTTGTGACTCTCTTACCTCTGCCTTGAAGCCACGAAAAGATTATGTTTTATACATTTATATTATAAAACGAATTCGCTAACCCCAGTGCCACAGCGCCGCACAAGATTGTCCTCTGTGGTAGAATTTATAATTAGTTTTGTAGTTTAAATATCGCATCAAAAACAGTCATCCTGCTCTGGGTATTAAAACCTGATCACGATGTTGTCAGGAAAGCACAATATCCATAGTGAATTAATCAAATAGGAATATCCATCGTGTCACGGTTGACCACTTTGCTCTTGTTGCAGGTGTGGTTTCGGTCATGAAAGGCTCCTGATGGGTGTGACATTTTTTATGCGTGTGGTGTGTGTGTGCGCGCGCGCGAGCGTATGTATATTATATATATATATATATATATATATATATATATGTGTGTGTGTGTGTGTGTGTGTGTGTATGCGCGCGCGTGTCCGTTAAGTTTCTTTTTCAGTGTTAAGTGAATTAATTTTATTTACCATACCTGCTTTTTGCGGCGTCCGTGGCTTAGGCGTTGCGAGTCTGACTCGTAATTCCATCGTACTGCGATCGAAACCCACTCCTGGCTGCGTATTTTTTATCAAGTTGTGAGGCGTTGCTGGTCGACACAACCTAAAATGGGCACCAGAATGGCTGGCATGGGGAAGTAAAGACGGCCGTTGTTATGCTGACCACATTACCCGCCTAGTGTCGATGGTCTGTAAAAATATGGGCGCTTTTCCAGTATACCCGATATGCCTAAAGGCGTGAAAAGGGATCTTTACGTCCTTATACCTACTTTTTTTTTAAGCTGTCTTGGATTGGATTGGCTTTTTACCCCACCAGGACATCACACAAGCGATAAACACCCGATGACACAAAGTGCCACCATGCGGATGAGGATCACCGTGGAGAGGTCCCAGAAACCGCGTTCAGACATTTGGCCATAATGATGACCTGCCTATATTGCGGCCCCTGGCAAAAGCCAGAGTGGGGCTTCAAATAACAAAAAATAACGTCATAAGAAGAACGTAAGGAATTTAATAAGTATGAACTAGATGTTTTTAAGACACCAGATTGTTAAATACGGAAATATTACACAGTTTCTTCGTGGGGATTTCAGGTCCAGTTTTTGGTGGAGGTGGGAAGGCCTGATGGGGTGAGGTTGCCGGTGGGGAGGGGGGTATAGATGCTGGACCTTGGCAAACATGTCGTAAAAGCTGGCTAATTAAGGATTTGCTGAAATTAGGTGGATTGGGTTAAAAGGCAAGGATTTCAGAACCTAGCTGTAAGCCACGTCACAGTGTGCCAAGCATTAAGGGCTAACCAAGCGTACGCAGAAGAAGAAAAAGAAGAAGAAAAGAAGAAGAAGAAGAAGAAGAAGAAGAAGAAGAAGAAGACGAAGAAGAAGAAGAAGAAGAAGAAGAAGAAGAAGAAGAAGAAGAAGAAGAAGAAAAACAAAAATAAGAAGAAGAAAGAAAGAAAGAAAGAAAAAGAAAGAAAGAAAGAAAGAAAGAAAGAAAGAAAGAAAGAAGAAAGAAAGTAAATGAAAGAAGAAAGAAAGAAAAAGAAAGAAAGAAAGAAAGAAAGAAAGAAAGAAAGAAAGAAAGAAAGAAAGAAAGAAAGAAAGAAAGGCGAAGAAAAAAGAAAGATAGACAGACAATGAAGAAGATATTATACAGGTAATTTTTCCAAAAAGTAAACTGTACTGACTCTATTTGCACGCTGTAGAAAATAAGGTAATACTGTTGTTTGTTCTTATGTAAGGGCCAGTTATAAAAAAAAAAATGTACTATGTTAACTGCAGACTATGACCCCCTCACCCCTCTCACCTCCCCCTAATCTCCCACTTTATACCGCTCTCTTCGCCCCATTACAATCCGCCAACAGAACTCATTTCATTGCAAATTTCCCTTCATTATGTAATTTCGTGCCGAAGATAATGTTTGCTCTCCCGCTTCGAGCTAACGATCCAACCTCTTCTTCCAGACACTATTTCGTCCATCGTTGCTTTCTTTTTTCTTTCTTTCTTTCTTTCTTTCTTTCTTTCTTTCTTTCTTTCTTTCTTTCTTTCTTTCTTTCTTTCTTTCTTTCTTTCTTTCTTTCTTTCTTTCTTTC